TGCTAAAACAAATCAACCTAATTACAAATTTATCTCAATCAAATCTTGGATATACGGACTCACAGACTGCGGGGACTTTTCTTTCCTTAGTGAATCTGCGACTTGAACTTCTAGGTTTGCCCCCTTTACTTGTTCTGACCTTTTTACCCTCCTGGCATAAGTGAACCACACCTGCGGCCTATCAGAGACTCACGAAATGTTTCCTAAAGTTTAAGCATTCCTTGGAGTCCATTCTTGATTTGAACAACCAATCTTAGATTTCTGACTAACCCAAGCATGAATAGTGAAATTGAACCTAGTGCAGAAATAAAGAGTTGGTTTTGACAAGCCTTTATGATGCCAAAGCTGAATTCGTTCCATCTAGTATTTTAATTAGATCATCTTTAAACGTGCGACTTCTAATCAAACTGGTTTCTGGATGACTTGATAGTGGCGCTTATTCCATTGTTATAGTCAATTAGTACATGTTAAATGCCTGGCAATAAGTGTTGCACTCAACATGTTCCTACTTTGTTTTGTTAATACCTTGGCTACTAATTTGTAAAAGATTGATGTAAACACACATGTAATGGGTCTTGCACTTCATAAAAATTTTAGTTTCAGTGTATGTTGCACACATGAAGGTTTTCCCTGGGTCCTCAACTAGAGCTGTAAATAAGACTGGGAAAATGTGGTTGTTAGTCTACTCTTGACCAAGATCTTTTGCTAAGTTTTGGATTCGCCACCTAAAGGAGAAGATGGAGATTCTTAATGAATCACTGTTGTTTCTCTACTACTTTTTCAATTAAGGGATTCCATAATTTATATTCTATCCATCGCATGTAACACCATTAAATATAACTTTATGGTTTAATCTAGGTATAACGATATTGCAAAGTTTGGCTTTTTTGCATTTGAGAAGGGGTACTCAGGGACGAAATCATCTAGCCAAAACAACTTAACAGCTGAAAAGAATACAACTGAGAGGGATGTCAAGGCAACTGATTTTGAGGGGTATGTCTCGAATTGATATTGTTTGGTGTTATCCCATTAGCGTAGTATCTATTGAATAAATGATGTCTTATAAGGTTTTAGGGTATGTATGCAAAATTCACCTGCTCTATATCCTTATTTGTAGCGTAATGATTGGAATAGCTGAGCAGGTCTACTCAATTCTGCTGTTGAGTTTCTTCTTCCTAGAGGTAAAACTATGTTTAGTGTTTACTCGTTTTTTATGATCAACTGCTGATTCTACCCTTGCATGGATTATATAATCGTTAACTTACTTGTATACATACAGGTATATGTTACTGGATTTATCCCTTACATTGGGAAGACATTAAATTTTCTCCTTCTCTCGTGGATGTATGCTTATTATTGTTTTGAGTGAGTAGTGATGTCGAAGCTTTGTTTCTTAATATGTTGAATGCTCTGTGGACAAGATATATGTTCATTGAAACTTCTCTCATTTTCTAGGTACCAATGGAATTTTTCTGGTCTGAGATTGGATGAGAGGCTGGAATTCTTTGAGTCCAACTGGGCATTTTTTGCTGGTTTTGGTAAGAATCTTACGATAGGCTTCACCCCGGGTCCTATAATTTTAAGTGGATTCAATTCGATCTTTGGGCCAGTTTTTCAAATTGACAGTATTACAAATCATTGTTGCAAAACGATGAGTTGTTAAGTAGCAACAAGTCAACAGCAACAAACTAAGTCTTATTCCCAATAAATGAATCCTTATATGTTCTGTTGACCTCAAAAAATGTTGCCAATAGATGTCGGGCCCACTTGTGTATACGTAAGCTTAATCCTACACATTAATGTCGATCGACGGTCATGATAGCTCTAAAATCTGGACGTGGGAGGAGCTCAACGACACGAGACGTCACCGTTCGGGTTTCCGGCAAGCTAAATGTAACACGATTGTATAAGAAACCACTCGATAAAGAACAATGTGTAGTAGAAAATACGCTGTTAAATGAGAGAGAGGAGAAAATCATATTGCTTTAAGTATTTGAAGTTTCATTCACCCCTTTTGTGTTACATGGTGGGGGTATTTATAGTGTTACAACTCAAATGGTAACCTTTGGATCAATTTACACGTGGCCTCATCTCCTCGG